AAATTCGCGCGTTTGGTGCCTTAGTTCTTTAGTCTTGGATTAGTTCATTCAAATTATTCTATTTGAAACCTGGTAACCTGGGCAATTAGCAACTAACGTTCGCAATATCGATTGGCGCGTGTAATTAATTGATGTGCTAATACATTCGCTCTGATGTTGTGGAACTGTTTTTCTCGAAATCAACTTCCGAAAAAACTCGGCCCATGTACGGCTGTTGGGGGGGGGGGGGGGGCTGTTAATCAACTTCTGGGGATAAAGATCGCTTGTCGTTAGAGGCGTAGCGGGGGGGGGGGGAGATATGTCCCCGGGCGCCGACCTTAGGGGGCGCCAAAATGGGTTGGAAAAACAAATTGAAAGTTTGAGGGGGGGGGGGGTGCAAATCGAAAGTTTGTCCCCGGGCGCCGGGAAGGGTCTCTACGCCTCTGGTTGTCGTACATACTTTTATTGGCCAACAATAACACATAACATAGTTTTTTAATTTGAAAATGTATTTTTTAACTAATTTATTAACTAAGTTATTAAATAATATATTAACTAAGTTATTAAATAATATATTAACTAATCCATACCATTACTTTCGCATTAGGGTTAAGCTAAGGATATCGTGCAAATAAACGTTTAAGGATGTAATTTTGTCACCGACATGAAAGAGAGACAAATATTTTGGTATGGGAAATTGATAAATATCAATAAAAAATAATAAATAATCCAGTCAATAGTTCTGGAAAAAAAAACCATCAACCAATAATCAATACATTTTAATTAAAACGTCTGACACGTTGTATTGCTGATGTCATTCACTGAAACCAGTTTTTATAAATGGGCCTGGTCGAGTGGGACCTCACTAAGCCTTTGTGTTGGCATAAACAATAAAATCATAAAAAACATGGTACTCTGTTTCTGGTTATAACTTCTTGATAGTCCGCTATTCTTTGTTCTTTTATGGTTCTCTCCCCTCGCTATCAGAGCTGGGCTAATTTCATGTAGTGATTACCCATATTTTGTTTTCTACCTCATAGTCTGTCGGGCTTATGCCCAGTCGGCCTTTTGGAAATCGGCCTTTTTACAAACACCCAAAAAAAAAATGCAGAACCTGAAATAAAAGTCAAATCCCATAAAAATAAAGCTGTCTTATTAAGAGTAGTCACTTATACCATAAAAGTGGGTCTTTAAAAAAAAGTGCAGTCTCTTGACAAATCTTATCCCCATAAAGTAGTCCATTCAGAAATCGCACCTTGAAAAAAATATTGTTTCCTTACACGCGCCAATATGGCTAATGCCACGATTCGCATTCTGTTCACATTCAAGGTTCGAGAACGGTCATTACAAAATGGATTCACACTCTAAAAATAGACCCAGATTGCTCGTAGATTTTCACGCTTTCTTTGAAGTAGTTCTAGATTAGCTGTGGTGGCCGCTTTAATCGGGCGTGGAGTGGACGCTAGTTGTATTGATTGGCGTGCCTGAACCCTGTTGGTTTCATTAGTAGCAGGCTAGACAGTGAGGGATGGGGGAAAGATGGTATTTTCTGCTTGAACGATCTCGGACAAAGCACTGACCACTTGGCTGGAAGTGTGTCTAGAATCCGAAGTTCTCGAACGCTAATTTGATCAAATCGATTTTCTGTAATAGATCCCGGGTACTTTGATTTGATTCATTGCGAATGTGCTTCCATTATAATTGTCTCCTTTTGTTACTCATTAATTTTTTTTTAAAAATCAATATGCTGTAATACTAATATTGCAACGTGTTTTGCTTAGATTAATCACGATTGCGATAATAATTTGTTGTGTGTTTTTAACAAGAAAACACCAGTGTTAACGACTCTTTAATGCTGCTAAAGGCGTTTGAAGGTTCGGTTGGTTAATGCTTAGAAATGTTGGTATTTTTAGTTTTGTTTTGTAATGAAGTGTTAGCATAATTTTATGTCTCTCCTGCTTGTATGGTCCAGAGAAGACATCCATGAGCTGACCCCAACTTGATAAACGATTATTTAAATCAGCGCTATACATTGAGCCATGCTGATGTTTGCCTGTCTGTGGCTCGTAATCCACCATACAGTATCAGCAAAGCGACGACAGCTTCAGTTTCAATCCAAGTATCAGGCCTACAACTTTGAAAAAAACGTGTGTCGTTCAGTTGTGTGTTTGTGGGAATTTATATAGAAAATATATACTTTTACCAGTGCCCCCCCCCCCCCATGGAAGGAAAACTGGTGAGAGTGCTGGTTGAACCAAGATCTTGAAATAATCACCGGACTTGACTGTACCCACTCAGCTGTATTGGGTACCCAGCATACATTGGGACAGGAAGTTGTCTATGAACCCTAAACTCCGGTGAAAGACACTTCTCTTATGGCGAGATGAAAACGAATTTTGTAACGGACTTTTTAAAATATGTTAACTGTAACAATTATGTAGACTCAGGGAGGTGTAAAACGTCGAGATTTGCAAAAATGTTGATTTTTTAAACGATTACAATACTTCGTATATGATAATTATCATTTAAAAAGTTTTTAAAAACCCACGTTTTCTGATTGAACTAAAAAGTAGAAAATAAATGCTATACATCACAATAATGCAAGCGATCACTCTACTATAAGCGATGAAAAACGTGGGGCGCCGAAGTAAAAGTTTTTTATCGGTCATTGTTATTATAAAATGTAAAAGTTATATTACTATTGATTAGATAATACTATTGAGTTTTATTAGGGAGCTTGTAGAGAGTCAACAGTATTAGAAACTGTAAGAAAATCACGGCGCCCCACGTTTTTCATCGCTTATAGTAGAGTGATCGCTTGCATTATTGTGATGTATAGCATTTATTTTCTACAATTTAGTTCAATCAGAAAACGTGAGTTTTTAAAAACTTTTTTAATGATAACTATTTTCTACTTTTTAGTATTTGTCTGTTTGTTTGCATTCAAATCTTGCTATCGATTTTATCTTCTCGCATTCACTTTTTTTTGGGTAAACGAAGACAACTCGTAAAAAACACGTGCCTTTTCCAATCGACGTTTCTTCTGTGTTGCCGTTTCTTTCACCATTTTGCCCTCGCGTGCAAACCATTCGACCATCACCATTCTACTTCCTTTGTACACAAACACCGCGTGACCACTACTCAGCCAATCGCGTGCTCACTCCTTCAGTAAGGCAAAAGAGGGAAAGTACCGAACCTTGTTTTATCAAATTACAATTACTAGGCTATGTCCCTTTTTTGTACAAATATATAAGGGTCTAAAATGATCAATAAAAACTTTTCATGGATCAATTTAGTAATAATAATAATTGAACATTGTATTGTCATCGGAAACAAAGCTTCCCTGAAAATTTCAGCGCGCTAGCTATCTGGGAAGTGCCCGAAATTTCGATCGCAAGATTTGATTGGAAAAACAAACAGACGCGAAAGCAAGTTAAAGAAAACGTGGGAAGAAAGTAAAAATTAGTCCTCAACTCCTACATACCCATGCTTGGAACTTGTGATTCATCGTCATGTTTTTTTATTCATCATATCTTCGGAATAAATATTCAACTTGACTTCAGTAATTACTTGTGTAAAAAAAAAACTGGACTTCATTTAGTAAACCTGTAGTAAGTCAGCTTGACCTCAGTCAATAGGTGTGTAGAAAATCTTTTCACACCTATATTTTGTTTCATGCCTTATCACAAGCCATCTTGTTTTAAATATTTGAACATATGTACTAGATCGTATATGAGGTAAGACTGTAAAAATCGATGAATCTAAAGATCAATGAAAATAAAAATCAATAAACGTAAAGATCGATCCATTTAAAGATCAATGAATATGAAAATCAATAAATGTATAATTCAATATTTGGAAACAAAGCATCAAAAGGATCAATGGTATTCATCATTCGTTGTGCGATTAAATTCATCAGGTCATGTCTTTATTTTTTAACCAACTTTTGCTATTCGAAACAAGAGCATTAAAACTAAATTACATCCAAGATCATAAAACAGGTATTGGTTATGTCTTTAAGCTACATAATCGAAACCAAGAACAAAAAGACTTATTACTACACACTACAATAATACAAGGACACCCCGATCTATCCAACTCCCCATAATTATTAGTCCATAAATTTATCCGAAGCAAACTTTCAACGTTTTAAAATCGATACATCAATTTATGTCCAACTTTTTCGTTATGGCGATTGATTGTTTGCACAACACAGCTGTATGAGTTATCAGCTCTTGAGTTTACCTGTACTGACCAAGTTCCGGGTAACATACAATGTCTAGTGAAACGAAGGGCATAGCTGCAACGATTTTTGTGTACTCAAAAGTCCCGGTTACCTCAAATTTTAGAATTATGCATTACAACATTTTGTGTACTTAAAAGTACCAGTGAACTCAGATTTTAGAATTATGCATTACAACACTTTTGTGTACTAAAAAGTACCAGTGAACTCAAATTTTAGAATTATGCATTACAACATTTTGCGTAATTAAAAGTACCTGTTACCTTTAATTTTAAAATTACTTTTTGTTTTGTAGCTAAATTAAGCACATGCGTGTTGATGTGTTATGACAGTTTCTCATCGTACGGTCCTTGTTGAAATCCTTCATTGAAATCACGAAGTACTTTAAAAGGGGAGATCACAATTAATAATTATGTCCAGGACTTATCGTTGGCGGAAAGCCATTTTAAAAATAAAAATAAAATCCTAAAATTTAACCTAATATTTACATTATAGGTAGGCCTAGGTTATAAATAATGTATGCTTTCAGTTTTTAAAATTGCTTCATGTTTTGTATTTTTCTTCCGTACTAATTTGGGCCCTGTGACTGAAGAGAGGTGGAGTAGTCCCACTGTAGTCCCACAGTTCATAAGAACTCTTTACAATTCTTTTTAGCGACCAATGCTTTGACTACTACACTTATAATACTTTATGACTATTATATTAAATCTTGTAACAAAATTAAAAAGCGTGTTAATAAAAAGGTTTGTATACATGTTTTATTTCTGTAACTTCACAGGCAACAGAAGAGAGACGCTGCCAAATCAGCCCTAAACGAAAAGCTTGGAATCAATGAGTTAGAGGACGAGAACCGGGTAAAAATCTGGACATTCTTGATGAATGGCGAGCCAACCAGTGTAGTGCTACGTAAGTAAAGATCTATCTATGATGTCCCTTAATAGAGTCCTTTGTGATGGATCTCTGGGTAATCCATCGAATCGCGTCATCTACATCGCAAGGACACATAAACTGGTTTTCTGTGCTAGGGTCGAGTTATTATTAGGGTTAGGAGTTAGGGTTCCCCCCCTCTCCCCCCCCCCCCCCCCCCCCCCCGAAGAGATGCCTGGAAGAAACTCTGGATACAATTAAAAAAAGGAATTGTCACCACATTATTGTTTCACTGGTTAAAGTGGGGTCGTCCATAAATGACGGCACACTCGTAGGGGGGAGGGGGGGTCCGTAATTTTGTGACGATGTGTGATGAGGGGGGAGGGTTTAAATGGTGCGACGTCACACTTTTGCATTATAAAAAAGCTATGTTAGAAAACGAATCTTAGACGTTATTTCGTGTTTTAGAAAACTGTTTTAATAAATTGTATTAGGAATTGATTAAAATACTCTATTTTGACAGAGTTCAGACAAGATTTTGGAAAATATCGATGTTTTGAAAAAAAGTACTGCAATTTTGAGGGGGGTTGTAGGCTGAGGTGTGACGTCATTTTAGGGGGGAGGGTCTGGCATTTTGTGACGATCTGTGACGGAGGGGAGGGAGGAGGGAAAAATCGTCCAAAAAAGCGTGACGTCATTTATGGATGACCCCAGTATATAATTTTTAGATAAATTATATATATTTTTATAGGCCTATAATTTTCTAATTCGGTCTGGAAGGGGCAGAGGGTGAGGGGAGGGCGGAGAGATGAATGACCGTTGGTTTCCCTAATGCCGACCTTAACAAAAAATGTTACGGTGTTAACTGACTGAATCATCCATAAATGAACTGTTATGATATATTATTTTCGTTGGACGAGACATTCAATCTTACACGTAGGCATATCCCAAAATGCTAATTGACTAATTGTGTTGTACATAAGGTTTTTTTTCATGATAGATCGAGACACACTACAAGTAGCATGGAACGGTGATATCGTCGACTCCACGGTAGGTTGTCTAGCTATAGCTGGGTGACTTATGTAGCTGTAGCTGGGTGTGTTGTCTAGCTGGGTGTGTTGTCTAGCTATAGCTGGGTGTGTTGTCTAGCTGGGTGTGTTGTCTAGCTGGGTGTGTTGTCTAGCTGTATCTGGGTGAGTTGTCTAGCTGGGATTGTTGTCTAGCTGTAGCTGGGTGTGTTGTCTAGCTGGGTGTGTTGTCTAGCTGTAGCTGGGTGAGTTGTCTAGCTGGGAGTGTTGTCTAGCTGTAGCTGGGTGTGTTGTCTAGCTGGGTGTGCTGTCTAGCTGGGTGAGTTGTCCAGCTGTAGCTGGGAGTGTTGTCTAGCTGTAGCTGGGTGAGTTATCTAGCTGGGTGAGTTGTCTAGCTATAGCTGGGTGAGTTGTCTAGCTATAGCTGGGTGAGTTATCTAGCTGGGAGTGTTGTCTAGCTGTAGCTGGGTGTGTTGTCTAGCTGGGTGTGCTGTCTAGCTGGGTGTGTTGTCTAGCTGTAGCTGAGTGTGTTGTCTAGCTGTAGCTGGGTGTGTTGTTTAGCTGTAGCTGGGTGTGTTGTTTAGCTGGGTGTGTTGTCTAGCTGTAGCTGGGTGTGTTGTTTAGCTGTAGCTGGGTGTGTTGTTTAACTGTAGCTGGGTGTGTTGTCTAGCTGTAGCTGGGTGTGTTGTTTAGCTGTAGCTGGGTGTGTTGTTTAGCTGTAGCTGGGTTTGTTGTCTAGCTATAGCTGGGTGTGTTGTCTAGCTGTTGTTGGGCGAGTTGTCTAGCTATAGCTGGGTGTGTTGTCTAGCTGTAGCTTGGTGAGTTATTTAGCTGTAGCTTGGTGAGCTGTCTAGCTATAGCTGAGTAAGTTGTTTAACTGTAGCTGGTTGTTTGTGTTGAGAACTAGATTTATCTTGTAGCTGTCGTATGAACTGCTAATAACTTCTCTTAATAACATTTAACCATATTGTTTCATAGAGTGATTTTTGCCACTGTGGCTCCACCATTGACTTTAAGCTGGGACACAAGAGAGCTCAAATCACCAGCACCATGGGTTCAAGGCCACGTGACGGCATGACCTACAGTCTCAACGTTGAAGGCAGTATCGTTCCAGACTAAATAACGACATCACAAGTAAACGACTAAATACCAAAAGATGAAGTCGTTTCAATACCAACCCAAAAACTATTACAAAACATGGCTTTGTTTTTTTTTTCTTTTTCATTTCTAACATTAACACTATAGATGAGCGTTTAGATGTGAATTTAATTTAAAATTTTATCTCAAACATTCTTGTTTTTTTTTTAAATTTACTTGGCACAAAATAAAATCTTTCTGCTTTACTATTTCATAATCAGCTTCAAAGCCAACCGTACACTAAAACGTTACAATTAGATATTATTTTCTACCATGCGTCTGTTTATGTTGTTAAGTGGACTGTTTTTACAATGTAGTTAATTTTTTACCCTAGTAAAATTGTGTTGTTCAAATTAAATTAGCTCGTATCATACTCTCATGTGTACTGAACTTCGTTATGCTATTTTTAGTTAATACCTTTTTTTTTTTTAAATCTGTTATTCCCCCCCCCCCCCTCTTTCCCCCTCCATTTACCCCTATTTATTTCCTAATGTGCAATTTTTAAATTGTTGTTACCTTCAGTAAAAAAAAATTCTTTTTCTAGAATTTCTAAAATACTGAATTATGTGTATTTACAAGCTGAAGTAGCTATAGCTTATACAGAAAAAAACAAAGCCACAACTCAACAGTGCATTATGCTCATTAAATCTCTTTGTACACATTAAAGTTTCTGCTGGGCAAAAGGCAAAGTCCAATATATCATTTTTCAAATATTTATTTGTTTTAATTTTGTTAAAAAGTTTTTTTGTGTGTCATCACAGATTTAAAGCTTTTGTTAAATGTCAACTAATATAAAAAAAAACAACAAATATCTTAGATGATCTGTTAAAAGAAATTTTTATGCACCACTGTCTATTTAAATATTCACTAGCAAAATTTTGACAAAATCCTTGTCCCATATGTTACAGCCTAGTTACATTTTGCTGAACAAAATTATTTTCAATTTGCAACGGTTAACACGTTTTTACTTTGTGATATGTACATGATTTTTACCTGACTTTGTTTTTTAAAGAAGTTCAAATTTTCTTGTTAATTCAAAGTTTTCTGACAATGTGATGCGGTGATCAAGTGATTTACAATATGGTTGGGATTGCTTTTTATACTCTACACAGTTGGTGTATAAAATATGTAGTCTTTAAATATACAATTTTTTTATTATTCTTTTTTTTGTAGATTGCACTGTTTATATTGTTCTTGACAAAAAATAAACATATATGATTGAATTCACTTTTTTCTCATTATTTTAACAATAGCTAGAATTTTCTTAACTCTTTATTTAATAATAGAAAGTTTATGGCGATAGATGAGTATCAAAAGCGAGTAAAATAACTCTAGACTTGGGATAAATGACTGAGGGTGGAACACATAACATAGCTAACCAAACTTTGGGTTCCTGTTCTGTTATGCAAATTTAAAGTCACTTAATTAAAAAAATTGCTCGTGAGATGGACTTTTTACATCCAAAATAAAAACCTGAGTTTCTCCGCCTCAACCCAGTTGTGATGAATACCTGACGACCACAAAGCTGTCATAACTACAAGTGTTTGACCACCACATCAACTGTTCTTCCTTAATGATATGCACACACAAAAACTACAGAACAAATTTGCATTAATTATTTTATTTGCCTTATGATTAAAGCACAATAAAATGGAGAAGCAAGACTTCCATTTTTATTGCAGTAACACATCAATGAGCAATTTGAACATCATATTTCATGAAAAATAATTGAATACAACATGGCGAAGCCTAATCGATAGAGCTGTTTGGTGAGTGCAATCTTTTGATGGCCATATCAACTGGAAATTATATTTTATATTAAAACCTTATTTTTACAATCAAGCATAAGTAGTTAGAAAAAAACAATGAACGTTGTCCAGATACAATGTCATGAAAAAAGTGACTAGATCAAAGGGAAAATAATTCCTTTTGAATTAAGAAGCCATGCTGATCTTAGTTTAGATATGTCTCTATACATTACAATAAATCTAAGCAATTTAGAAGCTGGCAGCTGTGTTCCATGTTCCACATCAAGTTTTAATTTTAAAATCTTTTATGGTTCCTTGTTCCACATCAAGTTTTAATTTTAAAATATTTTATGGTTACTTGTTCCACATCAAGTTTTAATTTTAAAATATTTTATGGTTCCTTGTTCCACATCAAGTTTTAATTTTAAAATCTTTTATGGTTCCTTGTTCCACATCAAGTTTTAATTTTAAAATATTTTATGGTTACTTGTTCCACATCAAGTTTTAATTTTAAAATATTTTATGGTTCCTTGTTCCACATCAAGTTTTAATTTTAAATCTTTTATGGTTCCTTGTTCCACATCAAGTTTTAATTTTAAAATCTTTTATGGTTCCTTGTTCCACATCAAGGTTTTAATTTTTAAATCCTTCTGTGTGCAGGTATAACCCGCTTAAAATAAGTTCAACAGTTGCAGCAAATTTTTAAAAAACCTAATTGGACACAAATAAATAAACGCGACATAGTCTGGTTAATCTAGTGAGTGATTTATCTGAAGGAATGTGCCTCAGATCACATGTTCATACCCATAAGTCAAACATTCATTCAAACACAAACAAGATTCAAGATTCAAATTTTCACACATATATGGGGCCATTAAAAAATTATTTTTTTTACATACATAGCAGGTCCAATAAAATAAGCAGAAAAATGTTATTTAAAAAATCTTAAACATAATATATTAACCAAATTTGTTTAAAAGTATAATCATGAATAATCTTTTAAATTATTAAAACAAAATCTTTGACAATTATTTTTCTTAATCATATTTCTGATAATTCTTTTTTGGCGGTTTTCACACTGGGGGTCATAACGAAAGTACTGAGGCATTTCTCAATGCTTGTGTAAATAACTGTTACACTACTGGGACATTTTGGTACCATTTCTAGTCACAAGGACAAAAAAATGTGTTTTGTCACACAAAAATTGACAACTAGTGAATAAAATATTTAAGCTGGATGCTGTTTCAGTGTGACAAATGTTGTACACTAAAGCACAAGCATGATAGAGAAGTGTTAAAAATAATGCTACCTAAACACATAACTACAGGTTTAAACATTTAAAGGTGGTATTTATTTTTTTATACTATACTGAGAACTCGACTCCAAGACAAAAAATTATTTCACAATAGTATTCATTATATACATTTTGTAAAAAGTTAACGTAAAAAAAAATAGATTTTATTCCTCTACTTTAAAAGTACTGGCTAAAATGCATACAGATTAAATGTTGTAACATACCCATTAAATAAGCTTAAAAAATAATCAATGAGCTGAAATATTGCTGGTAACACTCACAATGCAATAGTAAGGGGAGGTAAGCACAGAATTGTCTTTTTTGTTTCGTTTCATAAGTTAAAAAAGGTCCCTAATAACAATTAAACCTCAGTTTAGTAATGCAATCTGGGGAAAAGTCTGGCGAAACAGTAAGAATCTTTTCTATTCTGTAAATCTGTGTCGGGATGGGTTCCAAAAATGTGAATTATGATAACCATGTGTGGAACCACTGAAAGTATGAGGGCTGGGGGATATCACATTGTAAAGTGGCGTGTGTAGTCATATTCTATGGTGGGGATGACAGCCTGCACAAACTTAAGGAAGATCATCAGGTACCTGAGAGGGCGGAGTCAAGGTTCATAGCAAGTGTCAATTCAAACATAAGATAGTTAATTGATACGAAACGTTAAGCCAACCAAAAAATTACCAGATACTTTATGTTATGTTATTATCAAGTATTGACACCTGCTTGCACAGTGTACTTTTCTACTTAGGAACATAAGAAAGTATTGAAAAAGTAAAGTACCCTATAAGATCTGAAAATCAATAGAGCAGAGGAAGAAGAGTTTATCTGCTTCTGCCACAAAATTATGGTGCACACAAAGCCTAGCCATCTTTACTAGACTAAAACAAGCAAGGATACATATGAACACCAAGTTCACCGCCACCTTCCGCCACAGTCTGGATGATCTTTTTCATCACGTCAGCATGTCTGGAATACAAGAATTGGTATGGAACTGTTATTAAGCGTGTCTTAAGGTCACTGGACAGGGCGATAAAGTTCCTGAATGAACTTCAATGACCATGTGTTACAAAATGTTTAAGGAAATTATGTGATACGTGTGTAGAGTAGAACCGCTGGAATGTGTTAAAATACAAAGATCACCTTACAACAACTTACAACTGTCCTACGATCACCTTAAAACAACTTACAACTGTCTTAAGATCACCTTACAACAACTTACAACTGTCCTAAGATCACATTACAACAACTTACTGTTCTAAGATCCTTACAAGAAGTTACAACTGTTCTAAGATCACATTACAACAACTTACAACTGTCCTAAGATCACCTTACAACAACTAACTGTTCTAAGATCACCTTACAACAACTTACAACTGTTCTAAGATCACCTAACAACAAATTACAACTGTCTTAAGATCACCTTACAACAACTTACAACTGTCTTAAGATCACCTTACAACAACTTACAACTGTCCTACGATCACCTTAAAACAACTTACAACTGTTCTAAGATCACTTTACAACTTACAACTGTCCTACGATCACCTTACAACAACTTACAACTGTCCTACGATCTCCTTAAAACAACTTACAACTGTTCTAAGATCACCTTACAACAACTTACAACTGTTCTAAGATCACATTACAACAACTCACTGTTCTAAGATCCTTACAACAACTTACAACTGTCCTACGATCACCTTACAACAACTTACAACTGTCCTACGATCACCTTACAACAACTTACAACTGTTCTAAGATCACATTACAACAACTTACTGTTCTAAGATCCTTACAAGAAGTAACAGCTGTCCTAAGATTACCTTACAACAACTTACAACTGTCCTACGATCACCTTACAACAACTTACAACTGTCCTACGATCACCTTACAACAACTGACAACTTACCGACAAGGATGAACTGATGCCATAGGTGGACCTGGAAGATTTGGATGTGCTTCCATGGTAACTGTTTTCTTGGCGTGGTCCTGGCTGAAATCATCATACATCTGGTCCACAGTCAGAGGTTTTCTGTTCTGTTCAAGTAGGATTGGTCAAGAGATGATTGTGGTATGGGGTGCTTTTGTTTATGGAGAGTATAATTAGTCTATACGGTTCAGGCTTATCTAAAGTTTATGCATGAGCAGTTATAGAAAAACTCTCAAAAATCAATATTTCACTTTTTTATCTTGGGCAGTAGCTTTCACACATACATAATATTTTTGTAGTTGATTTGCTTTGACTTCTATGCTAAGTTTCAATACGTAAGTATCTATTTTTTTTTCTTCATTTGACTGTTTTTTAAAACATAGGCCTGCTTTGATCATGTTTATTCCTTCAGTTTCCTAACATGAAATACATTCTGTACATGTATGATACTCAGGCAACAAAGGTACACAAGACAGGATCTAACCCCAAGACTGACTTACTTTATCATAACCAAACAGCCATAAACCAGGTGTTTGGTAATATTTGTCGTAAGTAATGTTCAGTCGTATGACTTACTTTATCATAACCAAACAGCCATAAACGAGGTGTCTGGTAATATTTGTCGTAAGTAATGTTCAGGTCGTATGACTTACTTCATCATAACCAAACAGCCATAAACGAGGTGTCTGGTAATATTTATCGTAAGTAATGTTCAGGTCGTACGTCCTGGTCTGAATAATGCCACAGTCACTAGCTGAAGCCCCTTCTGTTTGCTGATCTTTCTTCACTGGTGCAGCCATTGCTGCCTGGAGTTTCAAACAAGAGAAACAATTATTTGCAATAAGTAACTACAGAAGTTGTTATATGGTAGTTTAACTTCACGACCCAATGGAACAGATAATCTATATAGTACACATTTTTCATCATTAGATGTTGATTTTACTTTTCTTTTTAATTGATAGTAATTAATAATACATTGTAAATTCTGAATCCTATAAACTATGTTTTAATTTATTAGTTATTATTTAGATACTTCTCTAAATGATTTGCTCAAAAGTAATGTAAACATTTTTAGTATGTTTAAAACATTTTTTTAAATGTTTTTATAATATCTAATTACTTAAATGATTTCATGACAAAATTTTAGTGATTAAAAAAAAATAACCTCATCTTGTTCCTCTAACATGCCACTTTCTTCAAAAGCTTCCATATCTTCTGCCTCTTCATCATCATCTTCATCATCATCATCTTTCTTTGTTATTGTATTTGAAGAAGCTCCTTTCTCCTTAAGATTATTAGAAGATTATTATCAATACTTTGAACTTACTTCTAGTGTGCATGATATAGTTAATATAACATAGAAATAAACAGAAAACTTAAATGAAAACTAAAGAGCCAAAACCTGCTATAAAAAATTAGAGCAGTAGGGACTCAATCTTGTATTTTAAACACAAATTAATTTGTCAATAAATCAGCTTGAAACTTACAATCATAAATAATAAATTAACAAAAACATACTTTACTTTTCAAAAACATACATTCTGTCCTATCCTAGTTGACAAAAATAAGAAATAATTTTGTGAGCTTACTTTGCCATCGAGGTTCATATCACCCATATCATCTTGTATAGAGTTCACACCCGAATCAGCTAAAATAAACAAACACTAAATCATTGGCAAATATATCTTTATGTTCGTTATTCAAAATAATCAAAGATAATATTGAGCAGTGAATGAAAAGAAATCCTCGATATCCGTATGGAGCAGAAAAAAAAATCTTACTTGAATAATGATGTGTATCTACCCAACCCCCATCTTCATCCTCTTCTTCAATCACTTTTTCTTGTTCTTCCTGGTGCGTGTCCATCTGTTTCACCCTCTTATAACAGGGTACTGTGGACATAAAGAAATAGTTAAATCAATTAGGTGATTCAGAGAGACATTACGTTTTTACAGTCTGGAGTCTTATCATCATTCAACTGATAACTCAATTTACATTTGACGATAAAAAAATACTTGTAAAATGATAGCAGGTAACAATAAGGCTAGTTTCTGGTTGTGGTGCTACTCAAACAACAATATTGGCAGATAAAAATCATTGAAAACAAACTGTATTGCCTAACAAGCTATCTAAGAGGTATCATTTAAAAAAGGAAGGGAATGTTACAATTTTCAGATTTGTAAAAGATTTTAGATTTCATGTTTGTACAAAAAATACAGTGAATCACACCAAGAGCCACCAACCGTTTCTTGTGATGAGGAATTGTTTGTCTTTAGGGAGGTAAGGCTTGATTTTAGTCTCATCTCCTGTGGACCATTGCCAGGTTGGGCAGTGATGAACTAGGTGATCTCCGGCAGCAACAAACTGAGGAAAGATGTTTAAAATTACAGATTACGTCTCAGTTAAGATAAACTAGGGTGTATAACTAGCATAACCTTTCAGACTTTTTTCAATAAAATATTTTTATGGAAAGATATGTTTATAAATGAAAATCAAATTCTGAAATTGTGATATCAAACTTACTTCCTCTGGTGTAATAACCCCAGTCTCTTTAAATTTGGATTCCTAAAACAAACAACAATGTAAGACAAATATTTTTTAAATAATAATGAAATCTTAGTAATGTTTCAAATAGATTTTACTTGAAAGATTGCCAACCTCTAAGCAAAAAAAATTTTAAAATAATAATAAAGAAAATCATAGACAATCATTACTTTGAAAAAGTGATTGAATTGATTGTCTTCCTTAACTTTTATAAAAAAGCTTATTTTTCATATAATCTGTCAGTATTTCAATAACCATAGTTTTTTAACAATAAAAAGAGTTGATTTTATTTCAACAGTTGAGTAAAATATAGGCCCTTTGCTTTTTAATAAAAGCTATGTATTTTGTTGCTGGACCCATTGATTTTATTTAGAAGAATGTATTTCTGTCACCGACAAATAACTGATCTCTAGACAATGTACACCAATGTTAAATAATGTTAAGTTATAACTTATGGGTGAAAATGTTATGTTGTTTATTTTGATCTTATCAAAGACACTATCGGTTGGGTAGGCTAAGTTTTTGATAATTTTATATGGATAAAGTTACTAAAGTATAGTTCCCTTTTTGAATATAACGGCCCATGGTGCAAATGTTTCTGTGACCTCAGCATATAATAATATAATATGAAGGGTCATAGTGTGGTCAGCACTATAGACTGCCCAAATATGGGTTAGGTACCCATCAATGATCAGAGATGGGTGGACACAAAGACGTTCTACAGACTTGAATCATGATCTGAACTTGAGACTTTTGGTATAACTTAGGCTAGATGAAAATAAATAAAATATAGCCTTAACGAACTCAATGTTAAACTAAAAAAAAATATTTCAACGTTTTCTGGTTTTAACTTCTATGACATTGATTCTAAAAATATTAAATTTCAGACTCTTTAGGTGTAAGTGTAAGACATCTAAGTTACTAAGTTGTTTTTATTTTTAAATTATTTTTTTTAGGCCAACGTTCGCTTTGATTTCAAAATCTAAGTACTAAGTACTAAAATAAGACTAAGACACTGTCTAAGTACTGAAGTAGGCCCTAACATAAGTTTTATCCATGGCAACTTGGCCTTGTCCAGTAAGTGACTCAATTAATAAATTATCTGTGAGACTGAGAATGTTGTGTACTGTGTGTTTAGTTTAGTAGTACTAAGTAGATTCTAGATCTAGAATCTAGTACTAAGTAGTGACTACTGTACTGTAGTTTACTGTACAAAACAAACAAAAAAACGATTCAAGATTTTTGATTTTAGTGTTTTTTTATAGAATTATCTAGATCTAGATCTACCTTCAAAACAGGTGTTAAATATTCTGCAACACCTATAGCGGTTTGTTTAAAACTGTTTATAATGCCTGCCATTCTAAAAATTCGAACGAAATCAAGGGAATTGTATGTTAGTTAAACAATTTATTGTGATCATGAAGTAATAATCACAAGATTGGTAGCTTGTGACGATAGCTAACCCGGATATAAATATAGTCTATACAAATTTTATTAGGCTAACACCAGTAACTCCCCTTCTGATAATCTATATAAAACAGTAACTGGACAATAAACAAAACAAATCAAAACCACTACCGGAAGTTAAAACAAACTTCTGTTTCCGGTGTCAAGCTATGGCTGCTAAACAGTTATAATTTGGCATTTTTGATAGATCTACTCATTTTTGCATTATTATTCACAATAATAATAAATCCATAAAAGCAAACAAAAAATCGTATACTTTTCTGGGTTATGACTTGTATGTAGATCTGAGTGCATATTAAAAGTGCAAATTGTATTGCACCTTTGCAAAATGTCTTCTGGAAAACTAGCAGAAGCTCTGACAAGCGAAGAAAGACGTCAGCTAGCAGAATTCAACAGGTAGGTTACTCATATTCAGAGTTCTCTTGGCTTAGTTACTTAGATAAACAATAAGTATACATACGTTGTAACATTATGTTTCAACTTGGTCGAAAAAATATGCTCATTCATGCGGCCTAATCACAACAATGCCTGAGTGACCTATCCTACTTCTTCTTCTAAGCCTCACTCAGTATTTTTAGTAAGACCTAAGAAGTAGGCCTGTTTAACTACTTACTTAGCCTACTAACTTAGTTATAAGTTAAAGTAGTTAGTAGTACTAGAGTAAAGTTCCACGCGCGGTCACACATAGCGAACTCCCGACTTTCATCGACTTTCATCGGGCGCTATTTTGTAACCGTTTAACACAGAAACAAACCCAAAGTACTATATTATTCCTCTGCCTTTCTACTCTTAATATGTATCAATCATTTTATATTCCTACGCATTGAATTTGAGATATTCATGTTTTAGTGACGTGCTACTTGCGATATTTTTTTCCCTGCGGCCATCTGAACCGGCTTGCGTAACGATCGTGTTTTATACGCTTTAATCCTAGTTTAATAAATAAAATAAATATTTTACACTTTTAAACGTGTTGTTGATTGTATTATTAATTAATAGATTTCAAAACCAAATTAAAAACATGTTAATTAAATTAATTAACGACATTAAAAGTTGACCCAGTGATGACTCAAGGGACGCAACTATAATAATCATAACAAAGGGACGTAACAACCACTGAGAAGACATAACGTAACATTTGCTTAGATATGCTTGTATGTAGAGACACAAACTAGATTTAGAAGAAGTAGATGATCGAAATAATTTAAAACAGCAGAAAAAAATAGAAATTATACAGATTCTAGGCTTAGCTTGAAATGTAGAGCATCTAGAACTAGGCTAGTCTAGATCAAGTCGTTGGTTACGCAGCGCGGTGAAACCACCCAAATCGACACCCAAGCTGCGGCCACCCCTATTCACCTATCAGGTTGCTTTATTAGCCTAATCTATCGTATGTACAGTGTCCCGCACATATTGTAGAAGCTATTTATAGTTAACCTAGTTATAAAAAGCTTTGATTGGTTGGTTTATTCATCTCATCCGGGACCTAGTGTTTTTCATACGGGGAACTAGAATCGCCTTCGACGTCATACCTCGAAACTTTAAAATTTAAAAACTCGACTTCCAGAAGGAGAAAAACAAAAGAATTTGACCTGGATATATTTAGAAATGGACAGGTTTACAGCAGATATCGGTAGTTTCGTATAAAACATCAAAACAAATATTGTACGAAGCGATAAACAGGCGATGACCGCACCGGTGTTTTAACCGCGCGTGGAACTTTACTCTAGTAGTCAGTTGTTATTCCAGAAGGGTTTTGCAATAACAATGGCTTTTGGTGTTTTATACTATACCATATACAAATCATACAGTCTATCACACCCTTTTAGTATTTTAGTAAATTTTTAGTATTACTTGCTAACTGGGAGGCGGGGTCGGTTGCTAACAAAAATATGGCACCCTTTCCTGAGGCATGATTTCAGATGTTTTTTCGGTAAAAATCCAGAAACCTTCTATGAATTGCTTTTAAAAATATTTACCACGAGAAAAATGGCGGGGTTTTCATGTTGTAACAACAAACGATAGGTGGCAAGGCTATATATGCCAGAAAAGCATTTCAAAATTTGCTTTGGAGAACGAAGGCTAAATTTAAAAGTTGGTTTCATTGAAAAACTAGAACTTTTTAAATATAAATTTCCATAGTACAAAATTGATTTCTATACTGAAGCCTTATTCATTATTAGGTTTATCAGTCTATGAAAAAATAAATCAAATAGGCCTATAGTCAGCCGTTTTTTTATAAGATCGTCCAAAAAAATGACATCCAAATTAAAAAAAAAAACACGTGACCACTAATTGGTGATCACTAGGCCTAGTGAGGAATTCTTGTGCATAGTCAGTTAAAAAGTCAAACCAGATTCATGGTTTTTTTGTAGCTTCAAACACATGGGTGATAAACATGTGTTGTCATGGAGAGATGTGTCGTGCGATTGCAGTGAGTGACAATAAATATTAAATTAAGTAATTTAGTTTAAAATGAACTAAAAACTTCAAAATTAGTGCCTAACAGATTAAATATGGATGTCTATTATTCAGTTGCCATGTTTAAATTGAAAATTGAGTAAATTTTAGATTTAGAAACCCTTCTTTAGATTGGTGATAAATCATATTTCATTTTGCGTCATCTTTTTTTAATACAGAGTTTTTAAAAATGTAGGCCTGTATAGATTGATTTTAGTAGCATACTGATGCTACTGTGTTGCTTATTATATTGTATTGCTAATAGGCCTAAGTATTTTTTTATTTTTGATAATTATTGCAGCTGCTAAACCTATACACAGTTCTACTAAGTTTTACTATTTTAGCAAGTTTTTATTTCTATGTTCTTAAAAAACCCATCAATTATTAATTATTACACTTGTCTTCATTATTTTTATTTAGATTTACTTATTGTTGCATATTTCTGTTTCCTTAATTAATTTAGTACAGTTGACTTTATTTATATTTTAACAGTCAAATAAACTATGGTTTATAGTAACTAATGTTTCCAAAACCTAGCCAAACATTAACAAATAATTTCTGACATTATATTGCGAGATTACTGTGTACCAGATGAAGGTTCTAGTATCTAGTCTGTTGTCTGGCAGCAGTACTTTTCTGAGACCCCAAAGAATAGCTTAGATTTGTTGTGCAGTTTTGGGTTCATCCATAAGGATAAGGGGGGGGGGGGGGTCCTGACTGGTATGAATTCCCACAAATATTATGATTTTGGGTTTTTAAATAAACTTCTATTATAAAAGTTTTTGTGGAAGGTACCTTGTTAAGCACATTTGCTTAGTTTTGACAGCTGCAAAGCATAAGAATAGATAATTAAGGAATATATTAGTTAATTTTACAAATATATTATTTACATTTTTTAAATGTATATACACATATATATTTATAACATTTTTATACTGAACAAAATATAAAATATTTGGTCTTGCTAATAATATTTTGCATAAAGAACATTGTGATGTATGCTTTGATTTTTTTAAAAATTGATTCACTTTAGGTAAGTAATTAGGTAAAAAAGGGAGTCACTGAATTTCTTTAAACAAAATTATTTCAGTCCCTAAATGAGAATCAATGTTACAAAATTTGCCAATGCAGAGAACTTGAAAATATTTTTTTGCCTTGAAGTTTAAGGGTATATTCCTATTTAAACATACAAACCCAACATTTTTGACAAGATGTATAAACTTTGTAAAAAAACTTTGACTTGCTACTTTTTGTGTGCCATATATGGGATTTTAAGGAGTTCATTAATGCATTCAGCTTTCAGCATTTTTAATTAAAAACCAATTCTAAGTAAATATTTTCTTTAATTGTCTATGACTTCTGGTACTGAACATCAGCATGATGTACCATCTTGTGCAGTCTAATTTGTTGACATTACCATGTGGTGGTGAGAAGAATCTGTTTTTGATATGGGTTTAATTTATAAAACTGGTAGGAAGAAAATATTAAGACTTTAGTTTTTAAAGAAAAAAAATTCAACAATTTTATTTTTAGCTAGCTGAGATCACTTTTACCATCTGTTATATAATCTATATTCTTTTAACTTATTTCTTCGTATTGAGCTAAATATAATTTTTTTAAATTATCCTATTTTCTGATTGTGTATATTTCTCAATTTTATTATTTTAAAAATTAATTGATTTATTTTAAATAATATGAATATAAAAAGAACTGAGACCAGAGTTTCTTCCAGGCATCTCTTTAAGGAGAGGTTCTTTTCTCCCCCCCCCCCCCCCCCCCCCCCCCCCCCCCCGAAAGAAATATCTATAATAATAGTTTCGCTGTCTCTCTATGTATCTATCTATGTATCTATCTGTCTGACAAGAACGCTCTAGAGAAAACACAAGCAAAATAAAAACATGCACAGTAATTCGAAAAACGAAATATGACGTCGACACATTTAGCATATTAAAGTTGAAAATAATCTCAAGGCGGAAAGTGCACATAGTAATATAAAATTATAATGACGTCATTGATTATCGCGTAAACATTGAATAAACAGGAAATGTTGTCTAATCTAAATGGTTTGCGTGATGAGTTTCTTGCATACAATTCTTCGGGTAGGGCGAAGCCCCACCCCCCGCGTAAGAACGTCTGAGGGGGGTGGGGGTGGGGGGGGGGGGGTTGAGTGGGGGGGTGGTTTTAATTTAGACTTTTTCCTCCCCGGAGAGGGGTGGGGGTACTTGAAATTTTCGGGGGCGGGGGGTAGAATTTTCGGGGAGGGGGCGGACACTGGAAAAAGTATATAATTATATTTCGTTGAATGGGACGGTAGACATGTTTTTTTAGGGGGGGGGGGGGGGTTGTGGGTGGGGGGTGGGGGGAGGGGGTGGAGTGGGGGGGGGGGTGGTTTTAATTTAGACTTTTTCCTCCCCGGAGAGGGGTGGGGGTACTTGAAATTTTCGGGGGCGGGGGTAGAATTTTCGGGGAGGGGGCGGACACTGGAAAAAGTATATAATTATATTTTGTTGAATGGGACGGTAGACATGCTTTTTTTTTTGGGGGGGTGGGGGGGTGGGGGG